AAATGGCTGACGGCCTAATGGGTGGTACCACCAACGCAGCTAACGTACAGCATGCCCTCGGTACGTTTTTGAGGCTGGCTCGGCCGCAGAGGAAGAACATCGTGCAAGCCCATGTACGTGGCAAGCGAGGTGCGCCTGGGAGTATTTTAAATGAAGCAGTTGGGTTCTTGTGCGAGCTGGCCCAGTCAAATGGCCGTCTGGGCGACTACAAGTGTCGCAAATTACTGACGGGTCCCGTGCAGCGCACACCGACAGCAAAACAAGAGGTTCTGACTCAAAGCCTAACAGCGCTAAGCCGAAGCCTAAGGCATACAGCCCGAAAGCGAACGTGGCAGTCGTCGAACGAAAGAGAAAACCTACCAAAATGCCTCGACGTGGCGGTATCGTGTGTTATATCTGCTCAGAAGAAGACCACACCGCCAGGTACCCCCGCCAGCACCTGAGCAATATCACGGAAAAAACTTATCAGTCTCAAGCGCAAGGTGACTCGGAAAAACCGAAGGAGGCACGTGACTCAAAGGGCGAGTCCTCGGAAAGTGACTCAGCTTGAAGTTTCGGCGTTGGGTGGGGTCCGATCCTAGTGGATTCGGGCGCATCGCACCACCTGACGAGCCGGGTTGAAGGATTTGAAGTCGCCGATGACGACGTGACGCTCGCCATTCGAGTGGCTGACGGAAGAACGGTCATTGCGAAAGCGAAAGGCAGGCCACACATCAAGGCGCTTGTCCAAGACAGAAGCGGAAACGAGGTAGAGCGAGAGTTCCTAGCGGAAAATGTCTACCTGGTCGACAGGCTTCCTCACACTCTGCTATTGGTATCAGCTTTGCTGCGTGGCGGTCATACAGTAAGCTTTGGACCAGCCAGCTGCACCATAGCGGTGTCTCGAGGCAGGACAAGATGCATCGCGCGATTACGCGGCGGTGTGTACTCAGTGGTAACCTCTCGGCAACATGATGCAGAGCTAAATGCAGCACACGGACTGTCAGCCACAGCTCTCGGAAGAACTTTGGAAAATTGGCATAGGAGATTGGGTCATGTCAACTATGAAACTTTAAAGAAGATGGCTGGTGGAGGAGTCGTTCGAGGTCTACGCATAGCTCCCGGCCCAAAACCGTCCATGTGCACCGTATGCGCACTTACTAAAGCGACACGGCAGTCAATCCCAAGAGCTCGGTCGAGACCCGACGAAGTAGCAGACGGTGTTTGCCACATCGACTTGGCCGGACCAATTTCTTTCTCTATCAGTGGATATAGATACTTTATGGTGACTTCGTGCAGACCTACGCCATCAAACGCAAAAACGAAGCGCCAGGGATGGCGAAGCGGTTCCTGACCACGATCGAACGGCAAGCTGAGGTGTCTGCGAGTTCTATTAAGGTGATTCGTACAGACGGAAGTACTGAGTTCCTAAACAAGGACTTCCGGAAACTTGCCCACAACCAAGGCATACTCATGCAGCATACCACGCCATACACCTCCTTTCAAAATGGAGTGGCCGAGCGGAGTATTCGAACGGTGGCTGAGACTGCGGCCACCATGCTCGTCGATTCTGGATTGCCTCATAAATTGTGGGAATACGCGCTTCAACATGCAGCGTACATTCGAAACCGAATTCTTCGCCGAGAGCGACAGCAACACCCTATGAGCGTATATTCGGACAACATCCTGACGTGAGCCACATCCCTATATTCGGGCAAGCAGTCGTAGCGCGAGTGCCTGGCCAGATTCGCCACAAGAAGAAACGCTTCGTCGACACTAGAGGGCAGCTAGGAGCTTTTATTGGGTGTACTGAGGATGTCAAGGGGTTCTACGTCTATACTAAAGGTGCCTCCCGATCGAGTTTTGCTTCCAGAGACGTCTCGTTTGTCGATCGCATGCTGTTTGAAGTCGACCCCACTACCGCAGAAGATGACGCTTTTGACGACAGTGAAGATGAAGAAGTGGAAACTGACCTACAGAGCCATCAGGAGGGTCGTGAAGGAGCATTCCCATCCGAACTGGCCGCCGTCTGACGCTCACAACGTATCGCACGCCGAGCTATGGTGCATGCCCAAGCGATCTTAGTCACGGGAGAAATTATCAAGGAGCCACTGAATCTTACTGAAGCAAAGCGATCACCACAATGGATGCAGTGGAAACAAGCTATTGACGATGAGATAAGTTCCCTTTTTGCCAACGGAGCGTTCGAGTGGGTGGATCCTCCTAATGGTGTACGTGTACTCGACCACACGCTGCAGTTTCGCTTGAAGGCAGGGGCGGTAGAAAATGTGGAGCGTTTTAAAGCGTGTCTTTGTGCTCGAGGTGACAAGCAAGTGTGGATCGTTCATTTCATAGAAACCTACGCTCCAGTCGCTGGCCTGGTTACTGTTAGAGTCTTCTTTGTCATTGTGGTGAAGCTTAAGCTTCAAGTTCGTCAAGGTGACGTCCCGGCTGCATACGTGAAAGCTGATCTGCCGGAAGAGATTTACGTGAAGCCAGTCCCTGGATACGCGCAGCAAGGAGATGAAGGCAAAATATGACGGCTCCGAAAAGCACTATACAACCTACGTCAAGCTGGACGCGAGTGGAACAAGGATATTAACAATTTCCTGATTGACTATGGGCTGACGCCTTCTCAAGGTGACCCTTGCCTTTACTGTGCTCAAATGGCTAGCTCTCTCCTGCTTGTGTGCATATATGTGGACGAAATACTGGTAGCGCACGAACAGGAGGAAGAGTGCCAGCGACTCATGACCGCACTTAGTCAGCGATACCAGGCCAAGGACATGGGCACACCACATCAGTTCCTGGGAATGAAGGTGGATCGAGCTGCAAACGATATGATATTGCTGAGTCAGACAGCCTACACCGACGAGGTGCTTCACCGATTTGCTATGGAGGAAACTCGACCTACTCACCTACCAATGGTAGCAAACACTCGTTTGGACTTTGCGGATGACGGCCCGTCAGAGACGGAACGCGCGAAGATGGCAAAGATGCCGTACAGACAAGCAGTTGGGGCGCTGCTCTACCTGACCCGGGTCTCGATACCATGTTCGTGGTCGGTCAGCTCGTAAGACATGCCGCTAACCTGACGAAGTCAGCTTGGGATGCTGTCAAATTTCTCCTAATGTACCTTCGTGCAACATGAAACTTGCAGCTCAAACTGGAACCTAGCAGCAATGATGTAGTCGTCACCACAGATGCAGACTGAGCCAACGATCTCGTGATCAGAAAAGTGTCTCCAGCTGTGTGGTGTATATATTCGGGTGCCCGGTTGCTTGGTCAAGCAAGAAACAGACAATCGTATGAAAGTCCAGACGGCGGCTGAGTACGTGGCGGCAGACGCTGTGGCTGAGGACGCATTGATGGTCCAGCTGATCGCTAACGAGGTACTTCACAAGAAGTTGCCGTTTAAGCTGATCATGGACAGTCAATCTGCAATTAAGCGTCTTCAACGAAATGGCCTCAGTGATACGCAGAAAACAGTCGACGTCATGTATCACGCCGTGAAGGACTTGATTCACAAAGGTGAATTAACAGTGGAGTGCATTCCTACTGGAGACATGCCGGCAGACTTACTAACGAAGGCCCTCGCCCGGACACAATTTCAGCGCAAGCGGGCCCTCGGTGGACTCGTAGAAGCGTCAAGGTAGCTCAAGGACTCCATGTACCTCTTGTGGGGGGTGAGCTGGCATTACTTCATAATGTCATTGATGTACAAGTGGTACATGCAGTCTAGCGCTATCAAGTGTTGATGACGCTAGTACTAAATCCAGAAGTTGGACAATTTGCTGGAAGATTCTAAGTCCGGAGCGTCGGTTTGGTTTAAAAGGCTATTCCTTATCTCACTTTGCTATTTGCATTCTCTCAGACAAGCAGTGCTCTCACTAGTTCAACTGTGACGGACTGCGGCGCTTGCTCGTTCGCGTGCGCACAGCCGCGTCACAAGTTGAGCCAATCGCCTCGGAGGCCACCTGAGTAGCCTCCTGGAATGCCGATCCTTTGCCGTGAGGCTTAGTGCTCCTGGCCTTCGCCCATCCGGCAGCAGCCTTGAAGCGTGTCTTCGCACCGCCCTTCGCAATGCCACGGGGCATGGTAACGGTCGATGAGGAGACCAAGAAGAGGAGCGCACAGACTGCTGTTCGAGGCTCTAACTGTGAAGTGAGCCTCCGCCGCGCTCGCGCGGCCAAGTCGATGTTTTTCGACTTCGAGAATGAAAGTTTGTGACGTACACTTCTTCATTCTGATTGGTCGGTAAACCGAACCTAATTGGGGGAGGATGTAACGGGGTACGTAGCCCTAAGAATACTCCTAGTTACATGAAGTGTGACACGTCATACTTTCGGGATATTTGGTACAGGTACCAAGTTCGTCCAAAGCCAGCTGATGACATTGCGTTTCTATGGGTGACTTGTAGTTTGTATTTAGCTCAAGCTTAACCTACCTATAAATAAACTCAGTTACAATCTACCTAAATTGACCTGTGAACTGCCGTTTACTGAGAGTTTGTAAACTCTCGGAAGCCAACTTCCTCTAGCGCAAGGTGCTGTGTGACCCCGTCACAGTTGATCAGCGCAAGCGTGCGACTCGCGACAGTACCGTGATATCAATAGATGATAGAGTAGGAGTAATATTGACGACTGATACTCAATGGTAATAAGAGAGTTCCATACAAAATACGAGATACTATCACCCTCTGCTCACAGCATTAAACTACTCTATTTAACTTTAATGGAGTTTCAAAGTCCGTGGTGTGCTGTGCATAGATCATACACTCCGCGCCACATTAGATCACACCCACGTCGGTGGCTGTAGCTCACTCAACTTTTAGAGTTTGGGTGTGCTATTTAGATATGTTGTTCCTATTATCGCACAGAATAGGCTACACGTGCTAACGATTGCGATTTTGCAGTTTACACCAGGGCTCCAATACAAACAATTGATTTTGGCACTGCGACACAATAATCACGCACGCCTTAGTTTACTGAACTCAAGTACTATGTATCTTAATGATAGTGTCAAGTGTACATGAACGGATCAACATTGTATGGCGTGTGCCGATAAAACTTGCGACAGCTAGCTGCGGTAGTCACCTCCGGGAGGTATTGATTGGCAGCCGTTTGGAGGAAATATTGACGATGGTCCTTCATGGTCACACCGGGAGGAACACCAAGAATTTGGCGTCGGTTTTCTCGCATAAACGCTTTCAGCAATGACTTGAACGAAGAGAACACATTCTCTATCGGGTTCAACATCGGTGAATAAAGGACCAAGACGAAGTAGTTTTGCATCTAGAAATTCATCCTCTTCAAAGACGCTTTCTGCCCGGCAATGGCACGGCGTGTTGTCGAGCACCAGCACAACATCAGCTAGCGTGAGTTCCGACGCGTCCCGAATGTGGCGCAGAAGCGAGCGAATGAAGTCATTCGTGTTGGCGTGGCGGTTTGTAACGAATTTGGTCTCGTTGTACACTAATCCGTTCTCGCTAATGCAGGCGATGACGTGCATGTTTTGGCCACCGCCAGCAAACACCTTCTTCATTGCACGGCGGCCACGTAGACTGCGCCCACGCGTACGTGTAGACCACAAGTTAAAATTTGTTTCATCCATGTATAGGATGATCTTTCCCATAGCTTGGTACTCCTGTAGCTCAGCAAGATATGTCCGGCGTTTCTGCTTGTTTGTCATAGTGTTCATGTATTGCGGTTTCTTGTGCATTTGCTTCAACGTGAAACAAGCTGCGTCAACGTTGTTCTTCACAGTTTGAGGAGCCACGACGACGCCGTGCTCGTGCTCAAGAGCGTCTGCAAGCTGACGCAGCGTGAGGTCGGGGTCATCACCTAGCTTCTTAAGCCAAAACGCTAGACAAGCATCTGTCACATTGCCTCCCCGCTTGCCGCCTCGCGGATGAGCAAATATCTCCTCTCCACGTGTAACGTGCTTGGCTACCCACGCTCGTGCGGTGTTGTGATTAACACCTGTAATGGGCCCAACTCCAATTACATAAGTAGGTAAAGTGGCACACTCACTTATTGACCAATCAGGTATAGACTTGTGTTTGAGTGGTTCACACGAGGCCAGGGGTAGCCGCCCTGGTCCTAAATAAATCCGAGTTGAATTTGACACAAACCTAAGACTTGGTTTTACTATTGCGAGCTTCCTCAACACTATAGTGTAAACTAGTGACGGTATCTCTTACCCTGTTACAACACCAAGCTCCTCAGCGGTCTCCTCCCACAAACACCCCCTTCGCGCGACCTCCAGGACTCGAAGCTTGGTCTCCAGCGCGTAGCGCGCGTAGCGTCTTGGCATCTTTGGATGTTTTAGCTGCTCCGGAAGTTGCAAAATGGAAAGTGAAAGCCTCAATAGCGCGCAGTGGTGGCGTTTTGGCGCGAACCGGACCTTGCATAATACTAGAGAAAGCAAGATTGGCGCAAAATGAGCGCTTCCTTGGCGCGCTTAGACGTTGAAGATCGCTGGTTTCGTATCCTTTACAGCCTGATTCGAGCTCACTACACCTGATTTATCATTTAAAAAGGGGTTTTGATGAACTTGCAGTTGCGTTTCATAATTTTGCTTTTGTATTTGATGAATGAATTGTGCTTTGCATCGACTTTGTCGCACTTATTAGTGCTCTAATTCATACTTATCTTTTGCACCAATTAGTGCATAATTTCCCACAAGTCGTTAAGATATCCAGTGGAGAGCAGGCCGCACTGCGAAACTCACAGTGACTAGATCAATTTGCAGCGTCATGTTACAAGTCCACAACGGTGCGTGTATGTCGCCACGGCTACATGTTTACTTCAGGGAGCATGCTAACACGGACTCTTGTCGTCAACGTTTATTGCGCTGTGAGCTAGTTAGGCAGCACGAGCTTCTTCGCTGCACTGTCAGCGCCAGTGACTCGTCTAGACCGACAGGACTACACGACTATCGGAATTATTATGCTGGTATGACGCTCATCTTCGCCAACACTCTGTCTGGCGTGCCAGATCCTCTTCAAACGCCGGCATCTCGAGCACGGGACAACTAACAACGAAGGTACCGTTGCCAAAACCTCACGAGCAACTACATTGAAAACACTCACGCATGTATGTGATGTCATGTCAGCTAAATACAGAGCAGTATGGTGAGGGTAAGAATACATAAGACATAATTTGCAAGTAAAACGGGCTCGCACTAATTCTGGTTTCGTCTTCATGATCTTATGTACACACCGAGTCACTGTCGTTGACGCTGACTCCGACGGGGAGGAACTCATCGATCAGAACCCGCCGAGTCCGTACAACTCCGAAGACGAATGGGATGATGAGGACCAGTCCGGAGGACACGACTCAGCGGAAGACGACGACTACATAGACGCCGGCGTTTCCAATGATAAAGGAAATACATCGGACCGCCGAGAGAACTCGGCGGGAGACCAGAATGGCTCGTATCGAAGTTGGGGAAACTCAGCGAGCCGACCTCCGCGACCGTACTACCAACGAGAACAGTCGAACCGTGGAGATGGATCACGCGACAACTCTCAACGTGGACCTTGTGCAGCTTGTGGAAGAATGGGGCACTCGGCTCACTACTGTCGACGACGCTGCAAATTCTGCAGACAAGTCCATGAAGGCGGCCAGTGCGAGCTTTTTCGTTAATACGAGAAGCTGGCTGCGCTCGTGAAAAACTCTGTCGACAAGTCGAAAGTGCCAGAAGACCTGCAAAACCTTTACGCGCCGAGTGATTTAAACTCGGCGGCCCGCCAACACTGACTGGGTTGGAATATGCCGGGCTGCCACGGTCAGCTGAACTTGCAGTTGAGGCAAACTTCTTCTTTGCCTTCGTAGGCGAAGCAGGACGGCCCGAGGGAAGAAGCGGGGATGGCAATTGGATGTGTGAAATCGACGGAATTGAACGTGAGCTCGGTGAGTTAGATGATAACCACCGAGCGATTGCAAGTGTAACTCGGCAGTCAGACCAGGCTGTGCATCGTACCAGAATCATGAAGCTGCTTCCGGGAGAACGGCTGGGATGGTGGTCAGCACAGACGTTTGATCGCCGAGTTAGAATGAGAGCCCTCGTATTGGGTGCAGTGAACGACCGAAGGACCAAGATATTATTGGATACCGGAGCAAATGTCTCGGCGATTAGTCAGTACTTCGCGAGGAAACTGCGTCTCAAGAGAGTGGCCAGCCGAGATAAGCGAATCGACATACAAGGAATAAGTAAAGACAGAATGGTGACAACGTCAAGAGCAGTTGTAAAGGTGTCACTCGGCTGGGAAGTGGCATACGAGTTTGAAGTATGGATAATGCTTCATCATGCCGGAGTTGATTTGATTCTCGGCACCGACTTCATGATCCCAGCTGGGATCCGTCTGGATCTGTACAACTCGGCGGTCAAGCTACCCGATGAGATGGTAATCCCACTCATCCGATCAAGTAATGCGCCGACCAAGACCGAGTTCGGACCAAATGTCCCATGCGGACCACCGGACGGGTTAACGATCGAAAGTCGAATGACCGCTGAGTTCAAATTGCCCAGGCGACAACCCAGTGAGTCGACGCATGACTTGTGGGTGCGACGGACGAAGGGTTGGATTCCAACGGTTGTTTTTAATCGCCGAGGAAGATCAACCCACGTCCTGATTACGAACGTACGACGGACGTCAGTCTGGTGCCCACCTCACTTTTATGTGATAAAATGGCAACCACACGGAGTACTGGCCAATGAGGGATATGTCCGCGTGAACTCGGCGAAGTACCGTGACTGGCAGATATTGGCCTTTGAGTCGGTGATGGATAAAGATTTGCTGCAGAAAGAACAACGACTGTACGAAGACTGGTTGTCACACCAGCCGCCAGCTGTGGAAAGACGAAAATACCCAACTCCGACGGCGGTGGAAAGACGACCTCCTCCAGTGGAAAGTGGACCAGAATTAACATGCGCTGAACGCCGGAGAAGGATCGAAGCTGATACTGAAGCCGGCGACTACGAGAGGCGTCGCGGTAACGCAGACGTCATATCGACTTCAGGGGTGATAGGGGCGACCCGGCTATAAACTCAGCGTTCAAGCTGGAAGACGTCCGAGCGGATCGTACGCCGGTGCTACACGATGGTCAAGATGTATCCTATCAGCTGTCCAAGTTTGAAGACGACGGCGCCATTTCTGACGTCAACACGAACTCAGCGGTTGAAGGAACAAGTGAAGTAAGGGCCAAGGAAGACGTGTCGGCGACTGAAGACTCAGCTATAACGGAAGGAGACCTTGAAGAACGCTCGGAGCGCGCCCTAAGTGACGCCCAACCCGTTGCTGACAACCGAGCCAAGTTTGGAGTCATTAGACCAAGTTCTGCAGCCGTGGTGAACTCAGCGATGGGTACATCGGAAGCCTGCATTATCCAGTCAGGGGCAGTGGACTCGGCGTCAGCAGATCTAAACACTGAGAGTGCCTCGGACGTGGCCACAGCATGTTGTCATGATGTCAGCTATACTGAGGACGCGTTTGCGTGCACGGAAGCTAGTTCTGCCGTCACAACCAACTCAGCGGTTGATCACTCCGACGCGACCAAGGACTATGATAGTCGGGAGGTACTACTACCTGAAGGAATAAAGCCGAACGACGACCCAGCTACGGCGGACTCAGCGTTGGAGACTATAGAGACTACGACCGGTCCGGAAGTGGTTAGACAGCGTGACAATGATACCATCTACCTCGGAGCCAAGTTTGAAAACGCAGGAGTCAGATCGACCATCGCAGTGAACTCAGCGATTACGGGCCCTGACGCAGCCGACAACTATGAATTACCAGAGGTATCACTGTTGGAAGGTACTATAGCTGAGGTCGGAGTAACGAACTCAGCGGCGACGGTGTTCGACCCCGGCGGAATTGACTACAGTTTAGGACAAGCTGAAAATGACGAGTGCAACTCGACGAGAGACCCAACGGAAACCCTAAGACAACACTACTTGGCTATCGCCGCGACCGAAGACGATCAAGAGGATGATGTTGACGATGGTACGACCAACGCCTTTGAGCGTAGTGGAACAGATCTGAAATTGACGGACTACGCTCACGAGCTGGCCTTCCTTCCCGACCTAACTGAAGTTGAACCTACCGAACTCGACTATGGCGCTGCAAACGTCAAGTCGAGTAGTCATACGCTAGCACAGTCGGCTAAATTGGTGACAGAGCTGCAAAAGCACGAAGGGATAATGATTTCAAGTGGTAATGCCCTGTCGCCTCCAGCGTACGGAGCATTGTGCGACATCGACGTTCAAGGGCACTCACCCATTAAGCAGAGAGCTCGGCGGATACCTCTCCGCCACTTGAGTAAGCTTTACGAGTTGTTGAAGGGGCTACTTCGAGCTGGGCTGATATCATTCTCGGGCAGCCCTTGGGCCTCGCCAGTGGGGATAGTGCTCAAGCAAAATGGTGTGGATATTCGGCTATGCATTGACTATAAACTGGTTAATGCGGTTACGACGCCGATGGAATACGCTATGCCACTGGTTGATGACCTGCTTACCGAATTGAAGAGTTACTTGTGGTTTTGCTCGCTCGATGCTGCGAGTGAATTCTGGGCAGTCTTGATGACACGCCGAGCTCGGCAGATCTCAACGTTCGTCTGTGCACTTGGACATTTTGAATGGTTACGCATGCCGTTTGGACTAAAGAATGCGCCTATGATTTACCTGCGACTGATCGACAACGCTCTATGGGGATACGT